TGTGTGCTTGGGCCTTAAACAGGCAAGTGCAACAGAGGCATCTGTAGAGGAGACAGGACTGAAGCAGTGTTTACAGCATCCTGCAATCCTGGGGACACCACGGTCCACTCCTCCCCCACCCTCTTGCTGACACCCTCTTTCCCTCCACTGCAACCATCTACATACCCCACAGGACTAACCCTTCCCCTCTTAGGCTCCTCTAGTCTAGAAAGAGTGGCCAGGTTGGCAGCCAGCCTTGAGAACCCACTTTTTGCTCACTGTCTTTCTCTCCCCTCCCTTCCCCCTCTTCTTTCTCCCTCCTTTCTTCTTTTCCTTTATCTTCTTTTCCCCTTTACATCCTTTCCTCCATCCTCTGTCCACCTTCACCCCTGTCTGTGAAGCCCAAATCTGCTTGGTTCTAAGTATTTACATCACTCAGGCTAGAAAGGTCCCTAGGTGCCCCCTAACCATCTATTCACAGAAACATGACCCACTGGCTGAGTCTCTGGGGTCCCTACTTCCCAGGACTTAACTAGGCACCATGTCCCTGAACCTTTTAAGAAAATGGGGAAGTGGAAACATGCAAGGTGAAAGGGACAGCTAGAGAGGATTTGCCTAAAAATTTGAAGCCAGTCTGAGGAAGTGGCTGCTGGGCAGTGGACCCAGAAACATGTCATGTGTCCATGGTTATGATGAGCTCCTTAGAAGGTGGATGTTAGGTAACCATGCCCATCTCACTTGGGGTGCCCTCTTCTGGGGCCACTCTGGGACTTTGTTTCCTCTTCTTCAGCCTTTGGTGCCCTGAGTGATCTGGGATCTCAGCCTTGGCTGTGGCTAGCAGTGTGGGCTCTGCCCTTGGGCTGTCTGAGGTGGAATCCTGCCCCCACTTTCCAACTCTGAGTTTGATGAGTTTATGTCTCTGGTCCTTCATTTCTTTAATTGTCAAAGGGAATAATACTAACAATACCTACATCATAGGGTCCTTTATGTCTGTGGTGCTTAAAACAGTGAAAATAGGCAGGTAGTAAGGTCTTCATAAATGTTAGCTACATGACTCAGGTCAGCTGGCTTTACCTTTCTATGCCTTATTGTCCCCTCAGAAGCATGGGAATAAGAAAGGCTATCCCTTCTCTAGAGGACTTTCTGGGACAACAGAGAAGACCAGAGTTAAGAGTTAAGAGGCAGAGTCAAGAGTCCTGAGGTGGTACCCCCCCTCTTTCTGTTCCCCCATCTTGGGGGCGCTTGTGTCCACCCTACCTTCTCTCCCTCCTGCCTTTGAGTCCTCTGCACAGCTCTGGCCCAGCTCTGGCTTTTCATTACTGTATAACCACCTCTCAGAGCACGTTTCTCCAAAGGAGGGTCCAGGCTGTGGGGACGAGGCTGAGGAAGGGGAGGAAAGTGGCCCAGCAGGGCCCTGAGAACCCCATCCCCTCCTCCCTTCTCAGAAAGCCACCCTTTCCCAAGATGAGCTCTCTCCTCATCCCTCCCCCCAATTTCTTAATCTCCAGTGCATGTAGAAGCTGCAAAGTGGGACAAGGAAGGACGATCAAACAGAAGATCAAGGGGCTGAGGAATTGGAGCCTGTGTTCTGAGGCTAAGGTCCACCCGGATCCTTTCTAGATTTAGAATTTTTCTCTTTTAACAATGGAGAACTCAGACTCCTGAGGTCCAGGTTCTGAGACAAGCTGAGCCCATCTGGCCCTGCTTGCAGGAGCTTTCTCTTTCTGACTGGAGAAGGAGGCATCCCCGCAAGTTCTTGGGCTGTTGTGGAATGCAACACAAACTGCATCAGGAGAGCTAAATTTGGGCTTTGGGTGGACTGCCTTGACTTCCTCAAGGTGATCGGTCTTTAACAGTAGATGAAAAAGGTCCTGAAACTCAACGTTGAACCATAAAATAGTTCTTGCACTTCTCACATCAGGACTTCTCTGTTATAATTCTTGTCATTGTTGGAGACCAAGCAGTAGTGGATATGGGGAGAGAGATACTCAAAAATTAATCACATTTTTCTTTACTCCAGGCCCTGAACCAGGATGATATCTTAGATAGGTGAACAAATAGATAACAACCTTACCCTTGAGGAATTTAAAATCTAGAGCTTAGAAACTCTTTCATATTGCAAAACATATACTCATATATCTAGGGAGCAATAGTCCAACGCTTTTATGTCTGTGAATGCTGCTAAGGCACCTAGCAACTGATTGCTAAGATCTGATTTCTCTGGATGCTGGATTCCTTATGCTTTAAGGCAGTGATTCTCAACCTTTTCCACGTCATGCATCTCTTTATAAATTGATTAAAGCTGTGAACTTCTCTCCAGAAAAATATCTAGAGCATAGACACTCAAACATCTGCCTATAATTTGATGGGCATCTGAGCCCAGGAAGCTGATGCAATGATCTTGGGTTTAGAGCCCCTGTTTTAAGAGTGGGAGGCAGCTGTGTGGCCTGCACTGGTGGATATATCACTGCATTTCCCAGCAGGAGCTGTGTAGCTGAATTGTAATCACAGTGTTCTACCAGAGTGGATTAGGGGAAGCTGGCTGCTTGGCCCAGACTCTAACTTTCTGAAAAATTTCTAAATTCTACCAAACAGCAGAAATATGCATTTGCAAAAATCCTAAATTATAATCTTGGTGAGGCTGCCAGTGAACTCTGTGACCTTGGCCAATTCTCTTCCTTTCTTTGGGGTCTCATTTGTCTTGTCTGTGAAGTGAAGAAGGGCTGGGACACTGAAGTAGAGTTGAGGTTCCTTCCATCTCTGATGTGCCCTGAGTCTTCGTCATGGTGGCACACAGGTATGTCTTTTACTGAGGAGACAGGACAAGGAGCGGGGGTGGGGGAGGGCGCGGGGGTGATGAGGCAGTCTCCAGGTGCGGCAGCCCTTGATTCCAGGGGCTGGACCTGAGCCCTGGTGAGGAAAACTCCCAGCTACTGCTCAGAGCTGTGCTCCTGGCCACCCCCAGAGCTCAGGGCCTCCTCCCCCTGCACCACTCTGCTTCCCCCTGCAGCTGACTGCCTGGGCCAGGGCTGCAGTGGCTGCTATGGGGATTTAGAAGCTAAGGCTGCCTGCTCTGGCAGAGGTTACAGCCTTATAAATCACAGTTCCATGGGGGAGGGTTCAGCACAGCCCAAAGCCTTAGTGATGGAGGGGAAGTGCGCTTTTCTGTGGTAATAACCACTGGGGGCTTCCTGGGCAGCTGGGCCCCTCCTGTGATCTTGCAAGGCCTCTCTGTTCCTTGGTACTCATTACAGATATCTGAGAAGGGGTGCCCTGCACAGAGGAGTCCTCTCCCCTCCCATTGTCTGGTTGGGTCACCTACTTGAAGGGTAGAGAGGGGTAGAGAGGGGTAGAGAAGCATAGCAGGTCTGCTCCAAGACGCAATATGCTGTGGGTCTGTGCTGTTCCTGGGGCATGGAAGTGGGCAATTCCTAATGTCACCTGTGGCCTTTAATCTTCTGGCCCAGCCATGGCTTCCACACAAATCAGAGGGCTCAAGTGTCTGACTCTGGGACTGGACATTGCAGGAGCCAAGTGATTCAATCTGCCAAGTCCCTCCTTTGAAATCCATGCCACCTTTTCCTTCTCTCCCATGGCCTCCTCAGCACCTCCAGGCCAGAATTTAAATGTTATTAACTATAATTGATCTGCTTAGGTCCTCTGAGGGATTGAGAGGGAAGAGCAGTGGAGGCCTGAGGTGTTGCAAGGTAGCAGAGGCTTCATGGAGCCACTGCCAGGGCTCAGGAATGCTCACCTTTTTGTCTCAGGGAGGAAACCCTTGGAAAGGAGAATAGAGAGGCAACTGACTCAGCTGCAGGAAATGCTCTTCTCCAGTTGGTGCTAGTTGTCTTCACACACTCACCCGTGCCTATACAGTACATATTTGCACACCCAGTATACCAGTCGTATGCTAACAGACACATTCTAAACCTGTCTATATAATTTCTTTCTTACCAGAAAAATATATGCAGACCCTACTCATATCTCCATATAAACATTCTTCTCTTTCCTTTCTTTCTTTCTTCCCGTACATGTGATTGTCATCAGCATATATGCTAATGTATAAAACTTTGAATTATCTAAAGCTCATGCATATACCCTTTCTTAACTCAGCCTTTTAAACCTGCAGTGTATGGCCATACCTAGAGACAGGACTGTGCAGCCCACATGCACACACCATGCTTCTCCATCCCAGACCTATGTGATAATTCACTCTATCACACAACTGCTCTGCTCTGTTTCCTTCACCTCTTGGTTGAGCAGCTATCCCATAGGTGGAAACTTCTTCCCCTAGCCACATCTCTTCCTCTGGAGTTGAGTATGTGAAGCACTGTCACAGAAGGGAAAGATTATGATGGTAGGAGTCTAAGAGCGTGGGTTCTTAATAAGTTATTTTGCTCATTTATCTTTGTATAACCTCACATGCCTCGTAAGGCCTTCAATAGATAGATACTAAAATTCAGCCTCAGTTTCCTCATCCATAAAATGGATTAAAATACTGTCTGCTTTATCTTCATGATGGCAATGTTATGCACATCAAACCTGATACATAAGAAAGAAGCCTGAAAGTGTACTGTGCATCATACCCTGGGCTATTAGGGCAATTTGTTTCACGAGTGCAGTCCAAGAGCTGGCAAAGGTAGGGACCATATTTTCCTTGTGTGAGCTGGTCCTAGTGCTGCTGGTCTTGCCAAGGGCTGCTGGTCTAGGGCTCAAGGAATTCATTCCTGGTCCTGCCTTTCTTCTTTCTTCACCCTCATTCTCACTTCTGTCTGTTCTAGACACATCATGGTTACAGAGCCAGGGATCACCAGCACTGAGCCAAGCATCTGCCCTGGGCATGAGCAAGCATCTGCCCTGGGCAAGTATCTACACATGGGCCTGGCTCCCAGACTTACACCTGGGAGAGAGTTCTCTGTTCCTGGACTCTAGGGCTGTGCTAACCAGCTGAGTCCAGAATTAGAGCTGCCATGGTGTGGTGAACTCCACGTGACAATTCACTCCAGGGCTGAATCTTTTACCTGTGCTTCCCCGCCTAGGTTTGTGGCAACCCCCAAAAAGCACCTTAACATCTAAGATGGTACAGGAAGGCCAATTTTTGCCTAGCCCAGAGTGAGTCCTCAGTGCTCCAAGCCACAGCGGCTGGTACAGGCTAGGGTAGCCCTGGAAGAGGGGAGGCAGGACAATTGAGGCCAATGCCAGCTTTGGAAAGAGGCCAGCAGCTGGCACAGAGCTGGCTTATGTCCAGTAAGAGCATGTGAGAGGTGAAGGGGCCATTCTGAGGGAGGGCTGTCTAGCTTTGGGGCTTAGAATAATCTCAGATTCAGCTCAGAGCCTTTATTTCTTTAGCTCAGCAATAACAAATTTGGGATAGTACTTGTCTCCTTCAGTTACTCCTCCCTGGATCATTGTTTAGAGAAAAAATTCCAGTGGGATACCGGGTACAGATAAACGTTTCCGGACACGCCAAGTGGACTGAGGCTGGGGTACCAGGAAACTGGGCTCCTGCCACTGGCTAATGGGCCTTGGAAGCTCAGGGCTCCCATAAGTGAACCTGGGAATGAACATGGGTGTAGTGGAAGAGGGGCCCCAGGTAAGCCTATCCCTTGCACAGGTCCCGCTTTCTGCAGGGAGTGACTCTGTGTGCCCCTCCTCCCTCCTCCAGCTCTGCAGCAGCACCAGGTTTCCAGCAGGCCGGCATGAAAGCCAGGCCTGGAGGGGGCTGGGCAGACGGGGACCAGAAACAGAACCGGCCTGGGGGTGGAGCCTATAAACACTGCAAAGCTCCAGCCTGGCTCCACCCCTTCCCAGCCTGGAGCTCAAAGGGATGACATCACCCAGACTGAGGGCTCCAGCCGAGAAGGGCTTCGCTAGCGGGGAAGCCGCACCTGCATGGCTGAAGGACTTCCCGGCTTCGCCAGGCGGTGGTTCTCTTCTGTGTCCTGAATCTTATTCAGCTTAGGGGTCTCTGCTTGGGGGTCTCGGAAATGGCACATGGCTATTCAGACTTCCATGCCTGGGGCTCTGGTTCTTCCACCGAAGACCAATCCCAGGGGCAGTCGGCCCAAGCACCCCTCCCCCCCACCCTGCCAAATGCGCCTTTTCCTTGCCAGCACAGCTGCGCTCCATTTTTCTGAGGCTCCATGGAGAAAGATTGGATCCCTAGTTCTGACCAGGCAACAGTCAGCCCACAGCAAACCCTTTGTCCCATTCCTGTGGGTCCGTGTCCCTTCCCCCACCCAAAACCCTACTGGGTGCTTGTATCGCCTGCTTGCAGAGCATATGCTTGGCTGGTTGCTTGGTGTCTGCTGTTTATCCGTCTCTTCCTACTTAACTTCTGTTTCTGCTTGGCCCATCTGGCTCCCGTGGTACCTGTCTTTCACTCGACTGAATTGTGCCTCCACGCCAACGCTGTGTTCCCCACCCTCCTCCTCTTCCTCTACCACTTCCCTCCCAGGGCATTGCTCTTGTTCACTCGGGTTACTGGCAGGAGCCCTGGACCTTTGGTGTAGGGAAGTGAGGGACTCCTCTAGCCTGGGGGACTGCCCCAGGCACAGCTGGGGAGCCTGTTGTGGGGGTCACTGCAGTGTTCTGGGGATGCTGTTGGAGGGGTGTTGAGGTGGGTGGTGGAGTACAGAATGGAAATAGCCTTTGGACTGGAGAGAGGGCTTGGTGCTCGTGAAAACCTCCTTCTCAGATCCTTCTGAGCTTCCTTCCTACTAGACTGCATTTTGGGGGTAGGGGTGGGGTCTCCCAAGTCAGAGTCTTGTACATACTGCTCTCTGTCTGCAGCAGCAATTGGAAAGTGACCTGTGAGTAGCGGCGGGAGAGAATGAGGCCAGAGAAGCCCCAAGGTTCTTCTGACCTAGAACCCCAGCCTACTTCCAGCTCCTTCCTGCAGAGAAGGGGCTGTGGCAGTCCAGTGGCTTGGGCAAAAGAAAAAAATGTTGGCAGCAGGAAGCTGCAGGTTGTTCATGGTGGGTACCCAGAGGGGAAGGAATGGCCTTCCCTGCTCCCCTTGGCCAGGAGTACCCTGCTGGGGATCAATCCCATCCCAGCACATGGCACTAGGCTCCATGCTGCCAGAGCTACTGCTCCGCATCCCCTGCCCCTCCCACCAGCTTGCACACCCTTGCACACACTTGCACACCCATGCTGTGGCTCACACTTACCCCTCCAACACAGCCTGCTTTCTTCCAGGCATGATGTGACAGTTTATGGCTTCCCAGGACCCACAAAGGGGTGGTGGAGGCTGGGGGAGAATGGAGGAGAAGCAGTGGAGCCCCACAGGGGCAGGGCTGTTGTTCATCTACCTCTCTGAACCTGGGTTGCTCCTCCAGGGTAAGGCTGGATGCCGAGGAGGCTGCCCTGGGCCTGGAGTCAACAAGGATCCACGTGCTTGGGGACCATCGGTTGCTGGTCCCTGGAAGCATCTGCTTCCCACGGAAACCCACAGGGCTTGGCTGCTAGGCCTCGCTGCGTGCCCACTCCTCTGGCTCTGTTCTCTGTCTCTGTTGTTCCATCTGCCTGCGCCACCAGCTCCTGGCTCTGCTCTCTCGGCCTCTTTATTTCTCTCCCAGAACCTTCCTTCTGCTCCTCATTTCTCCCTATCCTTTCCCCGGTCTCTATCCAACCACATTCATGCCACAGTCCCTGCGGTCTTCTTTCCCCTTTGTCTTTAGCCACCATTTCTCTTGCTTCTCTGGTATTTTTCCCTCTCCTCTCCTCTCCCTCCCCCCCCCCCATCTCTCTCTGTCTCTCTGTCTCTCTCTCTCTCATGCATATTCAATGGCTCCTTGAAAATCCACCTAGATGATTCTATGTGCTAAAAGCCTAGATCTGCTTCAGGAATAAAACTTCTCAGGCTGTGACTCTAGGTCCCTGTCTCTGACCCCAGTCTGGATTAATTGTCTAGAAAATGTTGGTAAACCCACCTATTCTCCCCCAAGCATGGCTCACTCTTGGCTCTTCTGATTTGGGGCCAGGCAGCTGTAAGGGGTATAGAAGCCAGACAGACAAGCCACAGTGCTTCGGTCAAGACACATGGCAGAGGGCACGGAGCGTCTGGGGCAAGAATCTCCCCTTCAAGGGATTTGACGAGTTCAGTCCGGAAATAAACTTAGGATCTAAAGTGTCTGATCCTTTGGTGATCTTACAATTCTTTTACATTGCTCTGTTATCCCCCTACAACTCTCATGGGAGTCTCATAAATGAAGAAACTGTGGTGTTTAGTGTGGATGTCACTCTAACAGGCAGCCCAGCACTTGGGGAATGGAACTAGAAGCAGAATCTCCACTTTGGGATTTTCAGTCCCTTGAATGTGGCAGGTGAACAAACAGAAAGAACCCAAAAGAGGTGGAAAGCAGCAGTTAAAGGAGTCAGGTGAGAAACTGCACCCAGTCTGCTGGGAGCAGGGAAGAGAGAGGGAGAAGAGAGAAGAGGGAGAGGGGCCAGTGGCAGGTGAGTGCGAGTGTCCTGTCCTCTCCTGATGCCCATTAGTTTTACAGTAGCCACCAGGGGGAGGAGGTGGGGATGGCAGCACTGTGTCCTCCTGTTTCCACATGTTAATGAGTCACTCCCCCAGTCCCAATTATTCCTCCATCTCCTTTCTCTGCCTGTTCATCATCTGGCCTCAGAAACCCTTCTCTGCTTTATTCTTCATTCTCCATCCCACCTTCAGGTCACCTGCCTGTCTTTCCCCTACATCTTCGGGGTCCAGCCCTTCCTTCTGCCCTATGTCTCTTCTGTGTTTCCCATTTCTTTACCTTTCATTGCTCCCTGAGCACCTCCTCATAAGCCCCACTTCCTGGCTCACTGACAAAGTAGCCAGTGTATTCTCATGGTGGCTGGAAAGTGGCTCAGAAGCAGAGTCCATGTAGGAATGGATGGGAACTGGCCTGTCACACTCCTCCCCTATGGCTCCTGACTCTGGTCTATACTCCCAGGGTGCTCCCCGTGTGGCTGTCTTCTTTATGGGCCTCATGGGGGTTGTCAGGTGAGGCCCCACCCAATGTACACTTGTGGCAGGTTTGCTCCCCAGCCAGAGGCTCACCTAGAGGCCCCATTGTGGGGCCCTTCAGCAGCTGTGAAGTAGACAGACATCCTTTTCACAGGGAAACTCCAGACACCCTTTCTCCTGCCTAACACACACCAACCTCCAGTAGTCAATGAGAACAGTTTAGCCCTGGGACTCCTCCCTTCTGCCTCCCTGGCTTGGCTTGGTTTTTCTTCCACACCCTGGTACTTTCTTGTTTTTGTAGGGGACTCCTGGCCAATGATTTACTTTTTCCTTAATGTTTCTTTTTTATTTCTGTCCAGAAAAAAAAAAAAAAAGAAAACAAAAAACAAACCCAAACCCAAGCAAACAAACCCTTCAAAACCCACTCTACATTTTAAAATAGTGCCACCAAAGAAACTGCATTGGTCTGGGCCTCAGACCAGCAGGTGGGGAGTGGGCACAAGCACACCCCTGACTCATTTTCATCTGTTGCCCCTCTTCTTACTCCTTTGCTGAGCCCTATCTCTTGTGTTTGTGCTCTGGGCTCATGTGCAGTACAAGTAGATGGAGTGAGAGTGTGGTGCTGTGACGTCTTAGGAGAGTGAAGATCCAGGCGAGAAGCAGTTTCTCCCTCGGATTTCATGTAGAAGACCATGAGGGAGCATCTCGGGCTGAAAGAGCTCAGTTAGGTTCCAGCACAGCTCAGCTGGGTCCAGCTGTGAGGTCTTGGGCCACTCACTAAGTCTCCCTGAGTTTCAGGTTCTTATCTGTAAAGAAGGAGCAATAATAATCCTATCTCACAGCATTGTTGAGAAGATTAAATGAGAAAATACAAGTGAAGCACTTTGTAAATTATAAAGAGCTCTAGAGAAACTATTATTTATGGAGCAGACGTTGAGACATTGGGGCTAAAGGAGAAGAGGGAGACAGCAAGTAGCACTTGCCCTCTAACAGGCTTAGTGAGGGAATTCAGAGAACACAGACACCTGGCAGCCAGAGACCTCAGCCATGAGGAGGGCAGATCTCCACTGTCTCTACAACCTCTGCCTGTATGTAGTGTCATCCTTTGCTTGGACAGACGCAGACTACATGTCCCAGCCTTCAAACCCTTGTCTTTGCATTGCAGATTTGCGGAAATTAGGTCAACACATCCAGGTAGGAAGGTGAGGCCCAGGCAGGAGAGGGGATTGGTGTCTCTGAGCAGCTTGATTTCCATCATAGATAAGAAGACAGAAGGAAGCATTGTGACTCAAAGACAGGTACCAGATACATGATATCACTATGAAATTAACAATGAAAGTGGGTAAAGGAAACATTAAAAGGCAGTGAGAAATCTTTTGTCCTTCCTCGCTGAAGAAGGCAGCAAGCTTGCCTTTAATGCTCCTGTCTGGGTTGTATCCTTGTGGAATTGTAAGTTCCTCCTGGACAAGAACCTTGTCGTTTTGGATTACATTTCTGCACCATGCCTTGCAGACACATCCACTTAATACATATTACTTGACTGAGTGATTGGAAAAGAGCAGGAACAAAGAGAGACGGCATTAAGAAGTGAGCTGTTTTTATATAATCCATTGTGTAGAAGACCTGAGCATCCCAGCATTTCTACTGATTGGGCACAATTTAAATTCAGCTTCCTGCCTGAAAAGAAATCATAACAGCAACAAATCCACTGCCTTGTACTCTTTATAGTTTGGCAGGTCTGGCTAGGGTAAGGACATCCAACTACTGGGGGGAGAAGGGACTGTTGGTTCGGGGAGGGAGATGTGGAATAGGTATCAGGAACTACAGAACTCAGAGAAGCAATGTAGAATATTAGAAGGGACCAGTTGGTTCAATAATTACTGGAGGAAAGTGAGGCCCAGAAAAGCTAAGTTAGTGGCTTATTGGTAGCAGAACTGGAAATAGAGCAAAGGTCCCTGACTCCTGGTTTTGAGCTCTTCCCAGGACTGCAAACTACCTCCTAAGAATTGAATCCAACAGGGGACACGACACTCCAAA